GAACATCGATGTCAGCGATCAACGTCTTCGATGGTATGCGGTCACCGAGCTCAGTGAGTTAATCTGCGAACTTTGTGTGAAAGAAATGCAGATGAACAAGTCGAAGGTGCTCGGGTCAAACTCAAAATACAATCCCACTTCTTGCGTGAACTGTTGCGCGAACTGGAATGCGGACACGAACGGTGTTGTGAGATCAACCGAAGGGAGGAAGCTGTATACGCGACTTTTCGCAGAACGCGTGGTTGCAATCCCGGATATTCAACATCTCATGGTGAACGTCAACAATGACCACGATGTTCAGGCCATGACCACGATTATACGGGAGCTTGCGTGTTCCAAGCTGAAGAAAGAGCTATCCCGTTTCGTGAGCATGACAATGGATCAGGCAGCGCAGTTCTACAATAACGGACACGGCAAGCAATTGTGTGCATCCCGGGATGTGATCACGTGCAAGAATTCCGAGGGAGTTGAGGAGAGGACCTCCATCTTTGTGATAGACAGAGATCTTGGCAACGTGGCCTATTCATCCTGGATCAAGAGCGTGCTTGATCAGGGGACGATGTATGATCTCCTGGGACAAACTACGAATGAGGAGTCCTTGGGGGACGTTGTCGAGATGATATTGCATCACCAAAGACGAAATGAAGCTCCTGGTCAAGGATCGCGTGCGCCCGGCGGGTGATATCATTTACAGATGCTTCTCCCTGGCTTTCAACTGTAAATATATATCGTTCGTAAGGGAAGGCTTGAACCTTGGCAGACATGGTTATTCGGTCAATGTGAGCGCCATTATTGCAGCCACTGACCCGAACAAATGCGACACACCTCTGCTGGATTGGTGCCTACGAATGGGGCATTGGATACCAGAAGATCATCATAAGAAGTGTGTCCGGGCGCGAGAAGCCCAAAAAAGAATTTGGACGAAGAGTTCCGTCGACGTACCCACAGACTGTCCATTGGAGACAGGTATGCGTAATGCAGATGTGGATTATTATTGCTTATGTGGTGTGGTGCGCCCACCAACAGCAATACATATATTCACTCCGATGTTGATTGCGGCATGATGTGGGCTAGTCCCCATCTATTGCTTGCGTCTCATCAATGTCATTGCGATGGAACGACTCTACATCATGATATGATTTCATGCGTCCAAGATGAATGGATGTGTATACATTTACATATTCCGACGGCTATGACATTCCGGATATTCATGGATGGAACTATTACCTCATGGATGATTTCCTTTTTATTATATATATTATTCATGGTACCTGGAATGGCTATGTTTTGCATGTATTGCTCACCAAATCTTCTTTGCCGATGATATTCAGATGGCTCATGACCCGTGCGCTACTATGGATTTCTATGGCCAACCCATTTGTGTGGATGACGGCTGCACGATGCGCAAATGCGGCAGCCGGGATTTCAAGTGGTTGCGTATTGGCTAGAGGCAACATGTCTCTTGCATCTGAGTATAGGAATGTGCTACGATTTGTGGATGCATGTTTCTGCCTTGATTGGACCTGGCAAGTTTCACAATGAATGGACGGTGTAGCAATAGTGAATGAAAGAGTGTTCGACACAGTTTCGTAGCTGAAGCCGTGGCCATTGGAACGTTTTGTGGTGTTTGGACCGCATGATGAACAATGCGACCCAAATGGGGGATGTTAAAACCCTCCTGGCCCCGTGCCTAAATTGGGAAGCAGTTCTGAGGTCCGTGTTTGTGTTGCTTACAAGGTTCCATTGATTGCCATTTGGCTCAAGTCACAAGTGAGGTTCAAGATCTTATGTGAAGCTGCGTTCATACGTGATCGGCAATTGAGAGCGGAAAACACTTCGCTTGCGCTGCATTTGTCAGGACCACTGTTGTAACTATTATTCCTTCTCCCTTACAACAGTTACACGGGTTCGGCTATAACGGTTTGACCGTATACACCTTTCTACGTGGTTGGTATTTACAGCTGGAGGGTTCGGTGGACAGCGTCCCACGGGACGTCACCTTGCCGTCTCTTGACAGATTGAAACCCGCCCACCCAACCCTTCTAAGCCCTAAGTGTTCGTAGGCTTTCCGGCCGACCCTCCAACGCTTTGGAGTCCACCGGACAAGAGCTGGGGGCGCTCTCCCAGCCCTTTATCGGGGCCCAGGCCCGCGGTCTGGCCCTGTTTGCGTTTTTGGGCCCGCTGGCCTTGTGGTGCAGGCGTGGGCACGCATGCCGCGCCTTCACTCGGCACTTTTAAGCAAGGACACGCATGTCTTGCGATCTGTTTCACAGGGGGGGGAATATCTCACCCCTTGCCCTAGGTGCACCGCAGTGCCCTAGGAAAGTGCTACGGTAAAGAAGGTGTGCGCCTTGCGGTCGGCTTTTGGTTCTGGGTTATTGGTGATTTGAGGCTAGGAGCAGTGCGCGGGACCTTTAACTGGAAAGCCAGGCCACTTGTCGAATCCGACTTCGTCTCGCCTTTCGTGCGTCGCGGAAAAGCGGTGCTTGCGGGCAGTGCTTCAAACGGGCACCAACTTGACAAGGACAACGCGAAACCGCAGAAGACCCAAGGCAGACGATCAGTTTCAAAGAAATTCCACAAGCTTTCAAAAGACTTGGGACAAGTTCCAGGCCAAAAATTCAAGCAGAAAGCGCGTCCTGTCTGAGCGCGAAGTGCTGAGGCCATGTGCAGGTGGGAGTCTGACAAACCACGCACACACAAATTCCCAGATTGAACATGTAGATGCAGTCGCAGTGAGGTGCGCAAGAAACACAGGGTTTGCATTGCGGCAGTTCGCAATTTGTTCTTGATGTTTCATGTGAACCGCAGGGGCTCAACGCCCATCCGAAATGGCCCACCGTGCAAAATCGCCACTTTGAAACCACTGGCCAGTTCCATGTTTGCCGTGTTTGCTTTTCTTGCATTGTGTTGGGCTAAATTTCGGTGACGTGATTCGCCGACCCGTTCGCAGATGGATGGTTGAATGGCAGGGATGGTGCGAGGACAAAATAGGTTTGGTCACCAAATGGAAATCATTAAAGAGGCACACGTTTCCGTGTTATGAACCCGCATCAAAAGTGCTTCCGCCTTTTCGGAAACTGATATGTTGAAGGAATCTGGTTCAGGTTGGAATCGGTTGGAACACAGAATCACATGACCAATTCATGAACAACAGCTTGCAGCATGCCAGTGCAGTACAATTTGCGAAGCCAATCCACTTCAACTACATGTTGATTGCATGTTCTTTTGCATTGCGGTGGTGAGTGCGGAGAAGCACCTTTGGTCTAAGATGCGTCACAATGCGGGGGATTCTTGTGGTTTGAGTGGACAAAAAATGTGCCTGTCACTGTTATAGTCCAATTTTGATTGAAGTCAGATATTTCATGAACAACCCAACAGGTTGCTTTCATCAACTTGCTCTGTTTTATTTGGCTTTTGAGCAGTGGATCGCAAACAGCAGGCTATCATGGCCAACATTGAAATGGGTGGTTCAAGCCAATATGCTCGGCAGACAGAATGACCACATGCCGCGCAGCAACAAACACTGACCTTCTTCTAAGCTCGCAAGCATGGCAGAACCACCAATCCAGCAGTGTTGTTTAAGCCATCATGAGTAGGACATCGATTCATTGAATGTTCAGTGGCTGGAGCACTTAGCGATTATGGCTCCGGGTCCGAAGAAGATTCTTTCCGTAGCAATTGGGCAGCACATGAATTACAATGACTGATGTGAGACTTTTGTCCCTTTTCCCGAGTTTGTGTTCTTGAGTCTGCAATATTGACCATATGTTAGTACAACGGTCCTTCAGACACGTGTCATGCTGATTGGTTGGTTTGGTTGTTTTTGTTCATGGTGTTGTGATGTTTAGGCACGTACCTGGGATGCTTGGACCTTGGAGCGTTGCTGAGGCCAAAGGGAAGCACAAACCACACGAGTTCGACGACTATGAGGCCAATTGACTGCCTGGATGATTTGCAAATATATGTGCCGACCGCAGTCAGTCTTTCTTTGTTCATGGCAGGGAGTTGTCCTGGAGACTGCTCACATCCAGACTCCGATCGAGGAGGCTTGCATTTTTTGCAAAGGGACCTGACCATTGGGTGTTGATAGTAGCGGGATGCTCAGAGACAGACACTTTCTGATGCTGTGCGGCTTCTGCCGAAGTGCCCCAGAGAGTATTCACCATGGCACATGGGCAATACGCACCTGCCAGATTTACTTCACCGGCAACATGCTATCCAAGTATGAAGCCTGCACCGAGTCCCTCAAGGTTCCGAGTGAGACATGTGGCATGCCGAATGATATAAGATAAAGAACCTAAAGCCGAATCGATATTTATCACATGTATCTCAAAGTTGTGCATTGAACAAATGAGGCAGATCGCAGGCCTCCTGTTGGCGGATTAGGATTTATGAACTGTGCAGCTGGAACTGTCAAGTCTGCATGTATGGTGTCAATTGCCGACGGAAACCAGATTTGGTTGACGGCTTGCAGGACCTGATCAACACCGATGGTGACAACGAAGAGAGCTGGGAAAAGTTTGATTCACACTTTACAAAGCTCCCTGGCCTTGCCGTCGTATGGACTTGACACTTGTGCTGGTTGCTGCTGTCAGACAGACCAATATTTTGGCCCAGGTTTCTCAACATGAACTGGGCCACCAACTGGGATGGCATGAGGTATGACATTGTGTTCTATGGATACTTGGAAGCATGGATCATCGTGCAATTGGTTTGGGTTTCGGTGTGAATGGGCGAAGGTGTATCTGGCTACACCGGCTACTTGATGATGCAATATCTCAAGAGCACTTTGGATGCATGGAGATGTGCGTCACTGCCAGGCGTTGATCCGGCTTGTAGCGTCCGAGTGGTGACATTTTCTCATCAACCCCTCATTAGAGAGTTGTGAAAGAAACCATGTAAAGGGCTCCTACTGCGCAGCCATTTCCATATACGTTATTTCTTACCGGCTCGCATGACCCGTGATGGAGGTTAGGGCGCTCCTTTTTTGAGCTGAGAAACGGCGCTGGTGCGGAACAAGGAGCCCTTCACCTTCGCTTTTGCAGGGCGAACTGCGAACAAGGTGGGGTTCAGTGTGCAGTGGTTCAGTAGTGAATGTTTTTCGTTATTTTCTCAAGCTTTTGTTGCAAGGGGAGGCTGACATGGAGTCTTGAGTTGCATTTCTCAGCTCTCAGCTTTCATGGCTGTTTGGATCCTGAGCTCTTTCCGAGATCCGCCACCTCGAAGTAGAGTGTTCATACATGCTTTCTGGCCTGTCAGTAGAGGACAGGGTCTTGAAGCTGTGAACTTTCCCGCAAACATAGTAACGAGTCTAAGAAGGTTGTAGGAATGTTTCGATTCCTGGTCCCTAGACATATTATGGGTTGTGTGGTTCTTGAGGGTACCCTTTGCGCCTTAAGAAAAAAACAGAGCCAATTGCAGCCAGGTGAGGGAGATGAGAGATCGGGAGTTTGGCGGAACGGACTACGAGGACACACCTATTCTACAGGCGGGGTTTCGACTCCTTGCCCCCGAATTCCGAATCGGGAGTCCGATTTCAAGGCCCTTTTAGATTCCAGGCCTCCTACGATGACGTCTTCTCGTTGATGGACTTGTGCCTTGGAGGTGTCTCGAAGGACTGGGGAACCTTCTGAGTGGAGCCGAGGTGCCGCAGTGCGTATGTCATCGTGAACGTCGCAGGTCCCTACATGCTCACACAGGCATCGGAATCTGGAAGTGGTTGTTTCCCTTGAACTTGCCACTTGCGTGACTTTGGCCGATAGAGTTGCAAGCTTGACGAGAAGAGTTTGCCATGCGCAGTCCGCGGAGGAAAGGTTTGTCATAAGTTGTGTCTGGGGAACTGGGACCATGAGTGGTCAGTCTGATTCATGTTTCGCGAGGGTGAGCTGCTGCTGG